TTTAGCTAGCTTGACATAAAACTATCCAGCACAATCAATCTACAATTATTTGCATGTGTAAGTCTATATAATAGAAGTATTCTCAATAATATTTATATTATTTAAGAATCTATAAGTACACATAAAAAGATTCTCTTCAGGCCGGGCGGTGGTGGCGCACGCCTTTAATCCCAGCACTAGGGAGGCAGAGAGGCAGGCGGATCTCTGTGAGTTCGAGGCCGGGCTGGACCGACAGCCTCTAAAACAATACAGAGAAACCCTGTCTCGTAAAAACCAAAATAATATTCTCTTCAGAAGAGACTAAGTATTGACAGAAAGTAAATACATATATAAACACAAAATTAAGAGAAAATGAAATTATCATCTGTGTATGAACGGCCCTACTCTTCAAAGGATTATTTGTAGGAACAACCTAAGTACATCCTGCACCATTACCAACCAACCACACAGAAGTCAAAGAATCAATGCCAACATAAATGTAGACTATATTCTGCATCACTGCAAATAAACTAGAAATAAATAAAAAAAAATGGTCAGAAACCCTCAAGTGTTCAAATTAAACATTTAAGTAATAAAATGGGGGAAAATTCAGTTGAAACTAAAATGCTTGAAAATAATACATTAGATTTTTACATATAGCTTGCTCATAAAAGTCCACAATCTATGTTTATGTGGATGTAATCAAAGTAAGTTGCCACTTAGCATAACAAGCTATGCTTATGCTAATATTTGTCTATATATGCCTCTTTTAAAGGTGAAATATTCCTTCCAATATGTTCTTCTAATAGTTTGATATTTTAAGGCAGGTTGATTAAAGGGCTATGTTATTTTTTTCCCTTACTGTAACCAACAGGTAGAACTGTATACAATTTTTCAATGCAGCAGTAGGAACAGGTACTCTCTGCCACCTTCCTAGTTCAGGTCCTTACAACACACATCAGTTAAATATGTATGTGAGTGTTTTTGTCTGTGTGTATGTGTGTGTATATATATATATATATACATTATATGCACATTCTATTTAATACATCGTTATGATGGTTATTGGATTTTATCTGAAGAATTTTTAGGTTTGAAAGCAATACATTATGAAGAATATTCCTTTTTGTCTTTCACTTTTCTCAATGTATTTAACATTGTATTCTTAATGTGTACACTAAGATAAAATGTGATTTAGTTTTGTTAGTTAACACTTTTAAATAATCTGTTGACTCTCTATGTAAGGGCTCCTATGGAAGGGAAAGTAACTAGATTTCTTCCCTTGTGTTGGCTTGGTCCTGGGTCCTCTCCCAGGTGTGCCTGTGGTGCCAAGGAACAGAGCTGGGCTCTCCTTGCCCTGTTGTTGTTTCGTGATTCAGTAAAGGAGTTAGTCCCACATGGGCCCTCGGTCAGGTCTAAAGGCCCTCTTACCTATTCTCCTCGTCTCTGTGATTGACTTCGTACTTCCCTAGAGTGTACTGCCGCACAAAAGATAAGTCTCCCGCACAGACTGCCATGTGCAGATCATTGTCAGGAAAGTATGGCACGTCTAAATACGCAGGATTCTGAGTACCAAAGCACAAGTTGTGTGCCTTGATATCACAGAAACCCAAGGGCATCTTTTCAACACTCTCTTTTTGTTCTCTACAGAGCCTAGAGTAGCATTGGCAACACCCAGGCCACCTCCCTTCCTCTCGGCTGTACTTTCCTCCCATCTCAGGCACGGTTATAGCAAGTCAACCGTTACCCGCGCCAGTATCTCCATGTCGTATCAAATTATAAGCCCACCCCTCCTGATCCAAATATTATCATTTGTCTTAGACTAGTCAAGTCTTCCCAGCGTCCTCTCAAATCAGTCCCTGGTTTACTGTCTACCAACTGAAGAGACAGTTGATAGGACGGTTTCTATCAAGCCATGCTGGTGGACGGTGTGCAGAATGCGAGCTGTGCACGTGTGCGGGCGTCTTAAGCCAAATAAGCCAATGAAGATCAATGCGCATGTGCACAGTCCAGCCTGTCAAATGTCTGCAGAGCAAACCTGCATTGCTTCAAAAAGAAAACGAAGCTGGAGGCATGGCTCAGTTTTAGGCATGTGTACTGCTTTTGCAAATGGACCTAGCTTGGTTTTCAGCGCCCACCACAGGTGACTCCCAAACCTCTCCAGAAAATCCAACGCCTGCTCCTGGACTGTAGGCACCTATACTCACCCGTGCCCAGTCCTTCACACACATAGTTCAAAGTAACCATTTTAAATGTTATTATCAGAGTGCTGGATGACTGTTTGCTCAAGGCTGCCTTGCTGTCATGGCAAAGCAGCCCTTGTATATGACTGTTGAAAAGGGAGGGGAGCTAAGAATGCCAAAGGTCTGCTCCTCAAGAAAATCTCTAAACGGACAACCTTTTTTTTTTTTTTGAGACAGGGTTTCTGTGTTAACAGTCCTGGCTGTCCTCAAACTCACTGTAGACCAGGCTGGCCTTGAACTCAGAGATCCACCTGCCTCTGCCTCACAAGTGCCAGTATTAAAAGTGTGAGCCATCACTGCCCAGCAAGAACAGCCTCCTAATTTCTAGTATTTTCCAAATCCAGTATGGTCCCTGCAGGTCTGTATGAGAATTCAACAATGGAACTAACAGTCTGTTCTCATGGTTTCAGAGATGTGTAAGTACGAACTTCAAAGAAAAACTAATGCACACCCCATGCAAGATATCCACTAATGCAAGCTTTCTAGTCTCTTTTGCCCTGACTTCTTTATGTTATCCCTAGTTTTATTCTATTTGCTCACAAAATCTGCAATAATTCCAAGATTTGTTTTGGAAAGCAATATATTTTTGTCTTTTTAATGAACCATTTTCTTGTCCCAGCTCATCTTTTCTCAGTTATAATGCTATATTCAGTGGCTTCTGGGTCCCAAACACTGCCAGGCTCAGGCTCATGACATCCTTCCTTGTCCTTTCTTTCTTCCCTCCCAAAACAGCTAATCTGTTCCTTCTCTTCCTCTTCTTCCCCCGACTTCCTGTCCACCATGAACACCCACATTCCCTCCAGCAGCACTATCAGCTTCTCAATCAACAAGCAAAATGAGAGTCCTTTGACAAAGCACATGGCTAAGGGACTTGTCAAGCTTGTCAGCTTTGACAGTAGCTCAGTCTTATGACATACTGCAAAAAATGCTTTCTTTGATACCCCCATTTTCAAATTCTGCAAACACGCAGATGCCCAAGATCTAGAACCCTCAAATCTCAGTCTCCTTTTCCAACACTACCTCATTCATTGCTGGAGTTCAGAGTTCCTGAAGTTTACCACGCCTACAACCACAGTGCTGCAGGAATCCACTTTACTCCACCCTACCCAACCCCTCAAGTGTTGCAGGTATCCAATTAACAGGTGCTCTGGTTCCGTTTTCAGCTCAGTGCATCGAGACCCATCCTCCAGGCAACTTCTGATGGCAGGAATTCCCCTCAGTTCTGTGCAATGTTATGATCCATGTGTGTGAGGGCTGTTGAACATTGCCTTAGAGGTATCAGTGTGAACCTTGGCATTAGTTCACATGTCTGAAAAACTCAATTGTATTGCCTTAAAAGTCTTGTTCATTTTGATCGCTTAAGCCCTCTACCATATACTGTTTTTCTTCCAAGAAACAATATAGTGAAAACACATTAGCATTTTACACTGGATAATTATAACACCAATGTGTAATTTGGGAACACATGATCTGACATACATTCCTGGACAGGTTGAAAATATCTTCTAATGAGATAAACTAAAAAATAAAACCAAGAAAGTGAGAATTTTACACCAAATATTTAAAATATGGCAGTGAGTGTTCATTATTTTAAAACATCAATGTTCACATTACTTACCATTTGCTATGCTAAGTAGTATATACTTTATATAAATAACAAAGTAGTATTCTTGATACTTCCCTTACCATAAAAGCTAATGCTCAGAAAACTTCCTTCTAAAAATACATATATCCATGCTTAGAGTTCTACCCTCGTAGTAGCACATTATTTTTGTGAAATGGAATTCATTATATTTTTGTCCATAAAATGCATTTGATCATATTCATTCCCATAACCATCTCATATGCCCACTGTCTGATTCTTTCCCAACTCTCCACCTTCAATATGCATTGTATTTCATTGCTAGACTTTCACTCACAATTGCTCATGCACACATGTGCATCCTCAAACATGCTCACATCTACAACATTCTTACTTTGCATACTCACAATTCCACTCTTGCACTTATCTACCCAACTCCTGCACATATACACCCTCACTTGTCATACATTACTGCACCCTTGTGCACAACCAACACACATGTGCACTCAAATCACTACCCAACTCCTGCACATATACACCCTCACTTGTCATACATTACTGCACCCTTGTGCACAACCAACACACATGTGCACTCAAATCACTACCCAACTCCTGCACATATACACCCTCACTTGTCATACATTACTGCACCCTTGTGCACAACCAACATGCACACATTTGCACTCAAATCACTCCTAAAATTTCACAATCACAGCCTTACAACCAATATGTACAATACACACAGTACACTAAGTACTCTTCATCCATGCCTGTAGTCACACAACTTTACACACTCGAATGGACACACTCATGTTTACATGTCATTTCAAAATCATACACAAAAATCTATACACAGTAACTCATTCAAACACACATGCTCACATAAAAATCACACACTAGGTTACATTCATACACACACTCAGAGTTACACACTAACACTATACACCATTCTGCCCTTTCCCAGTTACTAACACAACAGGCAAGGTGATGTTCCCTACATAGTTGCCCTTAACCTCTGCCTTGCTTAGTTCCTGGCACTGACAGGTAAGGGATCCTGGACACTAAGCAGTCAGCCAAATTTCTACCTTCCTCTCAGCTCCTGCTACCTACAAGTCAATGGGTCTCCACACACTCAACACTTGATTCAAAAAAATCTGCCTTCCCTCAGCTCTTGGAATCCCAACATGTAAGTGGTTCCAAGACCTGACAAGAACACTACCAAGACAGGCCACTGTGGGAGGGAAACTTTTTGCATGGCTCCACTCTGAGACAAAGAACTACAGGCAACAAAGGGATGCTGACAGTCAAGAGTAGTTTGTTCCAAAAGAGGAACCCTTTAATTGGTTATCCAATACCAGGTGGTCAGCCCTGAAATACAAGCAACAGTAAGGAGGGTTCAGCAAGATTGTGTATGTATTACAATAACAGAAAATAGAGGCCAGGGATTTGAGAGGAAGGAAGGGGCAGTGGACCACAGGAGAAGCTGGAGACTATGATGCTAGTATTCAGACATCTGTACTGGCCTGTCCTTGGGGTTCTGACAGGATATGCCCTAGCTGCAGCCACCTGTGCAAAATAATTATGTTCCCTTTTAAAAGGACCCTGTCTACCTCCCACCCTCCTCTTCCTCTCCCTCTCTGCCCCTTTCCTCTCTCCTGCTGCTCCTGTCCCTGGAGGCCAGTCTCCCCACCTTCCCTTTCCCCTTTGTAGGATCCCTTTCCCTAATAAACCCCCCATCTGCTTGAACCTTGTCGCAAAGGGCCACTTTTCTTAAATTACAACATATGGAAGGGGGGATGCAGTAAATATATTTTAATAAAACCTACCTCCTTAAATAACGTATCAGGTCTGAATAAGAGCTCACCAAAATATACAATGGAATAAAGAAAGCATCTTCAACAAATGGTGCTAGCATAACTGGAGGCTGGCATGTAGAAGAATGCAGATCAATCCATTTTTATCGCCATGCACAAAACTTAAGTCCAAATGGATCAAAAACCTCAACATAAATCCAACCACACTGAACCTCTTAGAAGAGAAAGTGGGTGGTACCCTTGAACAAATTGGTACAGGAGACAGCTTCCTGAACATAACACCACTAGCACAGACAGTGAGATCCACAATTAATAAATGGGGCCTCCTGAAACTGAGAAGCTTCTGTAAGGCAACGGACACAGTCAGCAAGACAAAAAGGCAGCCCACGGAATGGGAAAAAATATTCACTAATCCCACATCTGACAGAGGGTTCATCTCCAAAATTTACAAAGAACTCAAGAAGCAAGTCTCCAAAACATCAAAGGATCCAATTGAAAAGTGGGCTGCAGAACTAAATAGAGAATTTTCAATAGAGGAGTCTAAAATGGCTGAGAGGCACTTGAGAAAGTGCTCAACATCCTTAGCCATCCAGGAAATGCAAATCAAAACAACTCTGAGATACCATCTCACTCCTATCAGAATGGCTAAAATCAAAAACACCAAGGACAATTTATGCTGGAGAGGATGTGGTGAAAGGGGAACACTCCTCCAATGCTAGTGGGAGTGCCAACTGGTTCAGCCACTTTGGAAATCAGTATGGAGATTCCTCAGAAAAATGGGAATAAACCTACCACAAGACCCAGCAACTCCATCCTTAGGCATATATCCAAAAGATGCCCATTCATACAACAAGGATGTCTGTTCCACTATGTTCATAGCAGCATTATTTGTAATAGCCAGCACTTGGAAGCAACCTAGATGCCCCTCAACTGAAGAGTGGATAGAGAAAATGTGGTATATTTACACAATGGAGTACTATTCAGCAGAAAAAAATGGAATCCTGAGATTTGCAGGCAAATGGATGACACTAGAAGAAACCATTCTGAGTGAGGTAACCCAGTCACAAAAAGAGAAACATGGCATGTACTCTCTCATATATGGATTTTAGACATAGATCTGGGGAGTGCCAGCCTATAATCCCATGGCCAGAGAGTCTGGGAAACAGAAACTTCATTCAGTGGCTGATGGAAGAAGAGGCACACTCCCATGGCTAAGCACTGAGCTGAACTCAAGAAAGCCAGTGACAGAGAGGGAGGACTGATGACCAAAGGGATTAAGACTGGGCTGGTTTAACCCCCAGAAACAGCTGACCTGACAAGG